CCCTAAAATGCTATTTTTTGAGAGTAGTTTTAGGTTCATAGCAAAACTAAAAGATGCAGAGAATTCCCATATACTCCTTTACCCCCACATATGCATAACACTCTCTATCATCAACATCCCCAGCCAAAGTGGTACATTTGTTACAGCTGATGAATGTATACTGACACTGATATATTTTTTAAGATAGATTTTATTTTTAAATTGTGGTAAAACATTTATCATAAAATATGATATTTTGGGGCACTGTGTGCCTCCGTTGGTTAGGTGGCTGACTTCAGCTCAGGTCAGGATCCCAGGGTCCTAGGATCGAGCCCCACATTGGGGCTCCCTGCTCTGTGGGGTGTCTGCTTCTCTCTCTCTCTACCCCTTTCCCCAGCTCACGTGCTCACTCTCTCTCTCTCAAATAAACTCTTTAAAAATAAAATGAAACGTAACCATGTTAAGTGTACAATTCAATGGCACTGATTATATCCACGATGATGTATAACTGTCAATACTATTTTTAAAGCTTTTTTATGACTTCAAAAACTGTACCCAATAAGCAATAACTTATCACAATGTATGGATATCCAACAATTTCTTTTTCCATTCATCTATTAATGGACATTTAGGTTGTGTCCACCTTTTGGCTGCTGTGAGTTCCTATATTCAGTTCCTCAGTATATACTGAACAGTGGAATTGCTAGGCCTTATGATAATTCTATTTAAACTCTGTGAGAAAATGCCACACTGGCTTCCACAGCAGCTGGACCACTTTAAGTTTCCAAAAGCAATGCATGAAGGTTCCAATTTTTCCACATTCTTGCCAGAATTTGATGTTTTCTTTTTTTTGTAATACTCGTCTTTAGCAGGTAGGAAATGGAATCTCTTTATGATTCTGATTTGCAATTCTCTAATGACTAATAATGTTAAGCATCTTTTCATGTGCTAACTGGCCTTTTGTACAACCTCTGTGAAGAACTATTCAAGTCCTATGCATTTTTAAACCGAGTTTGTCATTTTGTTATTGATATGCAGTTCTTTATAGATCCTAGATATTAAACCCTTCTCCCGTATGTAATTTTCAAGTATTTCCTCCCCCTCTGTAGGTTGAGCCTGGTGCTTTTATTGAAAATCACTTGTATGGCATCTGCGTGGCTCGGTCTGTTGAATGTCCGACTCTTGATTTAGGCTTGGGTCATAATCTCAGGGTCCTGGGATCTAGCCCCACATTGCACTTCACACTCAATGGGGAGTCTGCTTGAGTTTCTCTTTCTCCCTGTGTCCCTCCATGCTTTGTGCACAAGCTCACGCTCACACAGTCTCTAAAATAAATAAAGTCTTTTTTTTTTAGATTTTATATATTTATTTGACAGACAATAATCACAAGTAGGCAGAGAGGCAGAGAGAGAGGAGGAAGCAGGCTCCCAGTGGAACAGAGAGCCTGAAGTGGGCCTCGATCCCAGGACCCTGGGATAATGACCTGAGCCGAATGCAGAGGCCTTAACCCACTGAGCCACCCAGGCACCCCTAAAATAAATGAATCTTTTAAAAAATTTTTAAAAGAAAATCAGTTGTCAAGAGGTATGTGGATTTACTTATGAATTCCCAATTCTATTTTACTGGTCTATGTGTCTATCATTGTTCTGATTACTGTACCTTTGTAATAAATTCTGAAATCAGAGGAGTATGAGTCCTCCTACCTATTTTTTTTTTTTTTAAGATTTTATTTATCTGTCAGGGAGAGAGCAAGCATGAGCAGGGGCAGAGGGGTGGGAGGAGCACGCTCACCGCTGAACAGGGAGCCCAATGCATGGCTCGATTCCAGGACCCTGGGTTCATGACCTGAACTGAAGGCAGATACGAAACCGACTGAGCCACCCAAGAGCCCCACTTTTCTTTTTCAAGATTGTTTTGGCTTTTGGAATTTAGAATCAGCTATTTCTACACAAATGGCAGTAGAAATCTGATAGGGACTGCATTAAATCCGTAGATTACTTTCAGTAGTTAGTATCAACATCTTAACAATATTAATTCTTCTAATCCCTTTGCCTAGGATGTCCCTCCATTTATTTAGGTCTTTAATTTTTTTTTGAGTGTTTTGTAGATTTCAGTTATACACAGACTTTTATTAAGAAAGCAAGCAAGGGGAGCGCCTGGGTGGCTCAGTGGATTAAAGCCTCTGCCTCAGGTCATGATCCCAGGGTCCTGGGATCAAGCCGCGCCCCCCTTCCCCCCCCCCCCACCCCCCCACCCCCCACTCTGTCCCCCGCCCCAATCCGATTCTCTGCTCAGCGGGGAGTCTGCTTCCTCATCTCTCTGCCTGCCTCTCTGCCTACTTGTGATCTCTGTCTGTCAAATAAATAAAATCTTAAGGAAAAAAAAAACAAGCAAGCAAGCAAGGGGCGCCTGAGTAGCTCAGATGGTTAATCATCTGCCTTTGGCTCAGGTCATGATTCCAAGGTCCTGGGATCAAGACCCACATTGGGTTCCCTGCTCAGTGGGGAGCCTGCTTCCCTCTCTTCCTCTACTGCTCCCCCACTGCTTGTGTTCTCTGTCAAATAAAAATCTAAAGAAAGAAAGAAAGAAACCAAGCAACCTAGCTTTCCCCTTTATCCTAAACTATGTGACTATGTATTTCAATTACATTTCTATATATAGGTCTTAAATACACATAACCTAGGTATGAATTCCATCTTACAACATCCAGTCTGAAAATGTATATCCCGTTCTGCTATAGGCTGGGATAATGGGTTCATAAACTTGAATTACTGTGCAAAAGCATCTAACTGACAAACCTGTGGAATGCACAGGAATAGTATAGGACTATATTTAACAAATCTCACCCACAGAACCTCATTTAATCAGTCAAGATGGCAGAGGCAGCTAATTTTCTACAGAAATATCCATCATTCCCTTTCTTACTAAAACAATCATTGATTTAAATCCATACTTTTCCCACTAAAAAGACTACATTTTCCAACCTTGAGCTTTAAATAAATGAGGTTGACTCAGTTGAGGTGCACTCTTGGTTTTTCTCCTTTCCTTATTCTTGCCTGGATATGGGATACCATGGACAGAACTCCAAGAACCATTCAATAACATGTCTGTTTGCCTACCAATAACCTGTCTCTCTGCCTACTTGTGATCTCTGTCAAATAAATAAATAAGATCTTTAAAAAATAAAAATTTAAAAAATTTTAAAAAATAAAATTAATCTGAAAAACATAGCCTGTATCTGCTCTTCTTTTCAGTTAATTTTATTCTAAGCAGAACTACTATGGCACAAAAAAGTTAATCACCCAAAAGAATTAAGCCAACAGCAGGAAAAACAGAAAGAATGGATGCAAAACTAAACATTATCAGCTATTTCAGCATCTTGAATGTTACTGATGTGGAGCTAATTCGAATCTTCATAAAAGACGGATGACACATTAGTGCTGCCTCTTGCTGATCTTCTTTATAGAAATGCAGAAGACAATAATTGTATAAGAAACCAGAGGTTAGAGAAAATTCTCCCACATAATTTACAGCTTCACATTATTTTAAGTGTTGATTAATTCATTATTCACTGATTATTTGGGACTGTGCTGTTTAATTTCCACATTTTGTGAAACTCCCAAATCTCCTTCTGTTAATGATTTCTAATTACATCATTCATTTATTCTTGACTTTAAGTATAGATTAAAAGGTCACAGAATCCTAGGCTTGAACCACATAAGAGAATATCTACAATCACTCCTACTTCAATCCCAGATGGTAATCTGTGATTATCTTTCAATGGACTTTGGGAGAGGAAATAAAGAAATCAAATGCAAAGATTGAGGCCTATGAGCAAAATCAGCTATACTTGGTATTTATACAGCATTTTACAGATTACAGAAAGTGCTTTTATGTAAATAAGCAGATTTTTAAAAAGACCTTAAATAATACTTCTAACACAAAACAGAGACAACTACTAAATTAGCAAAAATAAAATACCTGATAGGTGTTGTCAAAACTGTCATACATGAATCTGGTGATCAAGGATGTCTTTCCAACTGAAATGAAAAGGAGAAAAGATTCACTCAGTTAACATATTACACTGGGTTCTCAAGTGATTCTTCTACAGAGAACAATTAAAGACATTGGGAAATATCTGCAATGGTTCTACTACTAATAATTTAGAAACATATAGCCCCTAGCTTGTTGAAACGCTTTTCTTTAATAAGAGATAACAATCACTCAAATTAAGAGCACAGGTAAAGAGAGTTTTATTTAGTAAAAGAGCTGAGGAAAACGAAAAGATGGAGGGAAATAATCAATTATGTTGACATCTCTAATTCACAAAAGGCCAAGCAGATACTACTTGGGCCCTAACAAAAAGAACTAGGATTGGACTTGAGAAAAAGCCTCTTTACATAGCAACAGTTGAACTATGAATTTATTAGTAAATAGTACATATAGTTTTCGTTTTTTAAAGAAATGTTCACCATCGTTTTCACATGAAAGAGTAAAATGGGGGGGGGGGCCCTGGGTGGCTCAGTAGGTTAAAGCCTCTGCCTTCGGCTCGGGTCATGATCCCAGGGTCCTGAGATCAAACCCCGCATCAGACTCTCTGCTCGGCAGGGAGCCTGCTTCGCGCACCCCCGCCCCCCGCCTGCCTCTCTGCCTACTTGTGATCTCTGTCAAATAAATAAATAAAATCTTAAAAAAAAAAAAAAAAAAGTAAAATGGGGGCGCCTGGGTAGCTCAGTGGGTTAAGCCTTCTCTGCCTTCGGCTCAGGTCATAATCTCAGAATCCTGGGATCAAGCCCCACATTGGGCTCTCTGCTCAGCTGGAAGCCTGCTTCCCCCTCTCTCTCTGCCTGCCTCTCTGCCTACTTGTGATCTCTGTCAAATAAATAAAATCTTAAAAAAAAAAAAAAGAGAGTAAAACGTATATATTGCATTTTACTGGTGGTACAGAAAATGACAGGAAGTGAAAATTATGTATATCATACCACCCATATATAATTAATGTTGGTATAGGTTTTCTGAAATTTTTTTATACATAAAAATATGTACTTAAAAGTACTTAAAACTTAAAAGTAAAACTCTAGAACCATTCACAGGAAAGCCAGAAAAAATATACATACTACTATTTTCTTTTCTTTCTTTTTTAAAGATTTTATTTATCCATTTGACAGACAGAGATCACACGTAGGCAGAGAGGCAGGCAGAGAGAGGGGGGGAGCAGACTCCCCACCAATCTGAGAGCCCGATGCGGGGCTCGATCCCAGGACCCTGAGATCATGACCCGAGCCGAAGGCAGAGGCCCAACCCACTGAGCCACCCAGGCGCCCCCTTACTACTATTTTCAACAATGACTGGATCTGTAAAAAGTAATGTAAAAATCTGAGGAGACAAGAGGCAATATGCATTTCACAGAGGGGGAAATAGTGGTGGATAAAAAGCTATATAAAATACATAATAAAGAAATATAAAATAGCTTGTTAAAAGTTTTTATTCAAAAGATTAAAAATTATTAAGCATTTTACTTTAAAAGATCGTAATCTCTACACCCAATGTGGGGCTTAAACTAGAGTTGCATGCTCTACTGACTGAGCCAGCCAGCTACCCCTAAGCATTTTTAAATATGATTCAATATGGAGTCCTGGTAAATATACTGCTCTTGTTAACCTCAAACCCAATGTAAAATAGTATGCAAACTTATAATGATTTGCTATATGTTGTTCTTCCTAAAAGATTATAAGCTCCAGGGGCACCTGGGTGGCATAGTCATTTAAGTGTCTAACTCTTGGTTTCAGTTCAGGTCATGATCTCAGGGTCCTGGGATCGAGCCCAGAGTCAGGCTCCCTGCTCAGAAGGGAGTCTGCCTCTCCCTTTCCCCTCTGTCCCTACCCCTGCTCATCTCGCTCGCTCTCTCGCAAATAAACAAAATCTCTTAAGAACAAAATTAAAAATTTACATACGTGTTTAAAGTAAAAATAACAATTTACAACATAGAGAATGTAATATTATCACAACTGTAACACAAAAGACAGAGACATAAATACAGTTACACTGTTGTAAGGTATCTATAGTTCATGTGGATAGTACAGTACAGTCTGTGAGAGGTTGATGATGCATATCACAAACCCTGGCAAATCACTAAAAATATATGCAAAAAAGGAACAGACAATAAGTTAACAGAGGAATGAAAATGGAACAGTAAAATAATTACAAAAATCAAATGAGACAAACCCAAATCCAGCCCTATCAATTTGTATAATATATGAATAGATTTAAAAACTCCAATTAAGGGATGCCTGGGTGGCTGGGTTAAGCGACTGCCTTCAGCTTAGATCGTGATCCCACGGTCCTGAGACTGAGCCCCACATCCGGCTCCTTGCTCAGCGGGGAGCCTGCTTCTCTCCTCCCTCTCCTGGTTATTCTGTCTGCTTGTGCTTCCCTCTCTGTATTAAAAAAAATTCTTAAAAAGAAAAAAAATTAAAATTCCAATTAAAAGGCAAGATTTTCAGAATAAGAAAATAAGAAGATACGATAAGAAGACACAAATATTTGCTTTCTGAGAAAGACACACTTTAAATACAAAGAAACAAAAAAGTTTAAAACAGAAGGGCATAAAAATCTCCCAACAAAGAAAACTCTAATTAATCATTTAAGGGGGAGCGTCTGGGTGGCTCACTGGGTTAAAGCCTCTGCCTCCGGCTCAGGTCATGATCCCAGGGTCCTGGGATCCAGCCCCCAATCGGGCTCTGTGCTCAGCAGGGAGTCTGCTTGCCCCTCTCTCCCTCTCTGCCTACCTCTCTGCCTACTTGTGATCTCTATCTGTCAAATAAATAAATAAAATATTTTTTAAAAATCATTTAAGGGAATAGGACCGATCTTACATAAACTATTTTTTTAAAAGAAGAGAACAAGAACACTTTCCAATCATGACATGGGATGAGCATAACCCTAACAACATTACAAAAAAAATCAAAATTATGGATCAGTATCTGTCATCAACACAAGACTCAAAATTCCTTAACAAAGTATTAGCAAATCAAATCCACATATAAAAGAGTATTTATTTATTTTAGAGAGAGACTGTGTGGATGAGTGGGGGTGGGGGTGGGGGGAGGAGACAGTCTTAAGAAAACTGTGTACAACAGAGCCCACAGCGGAGCTTGATCTCACCACCCTGAGATCACAACCTGAGCCATAATCAAGAGTCGAGGCTTAACCAACTGCACCACCCAGGTGCTCCCAAATCCGTATGTATATACAAAGATACCTCTTAAGTAGGGATTATCCCAGAAATAAAAGGTTAATAAATCATACAAAGTCAATTAATGTAATCCAAATGTTAACAGAATAAAAAAGAAAATCCTAAAGTTCATCTCAATATACTCAGATGAAGTATGTGACAAAACTCACCAGATTCATGATGAAAACTCAAAGCAAACTAGCAAACCAGGAAAGGAGATGGCAACAATCAGATAAAGAGCATTTACAAAGAAATCTATAGTTAACATCATACATAATGCTAAACTCTAAATGGTTTCCTCCAAAGAATGGGGGTAGAAAGCAAGGATGTCCAATCCACCACTTCTATTCAGCGTGAGTACTGGTGGTCTTAGCCAGTGCAATAATGGTAAGAAAAAGAAATAAAAGGCACACAAAATGATATTGTTTCTTTCACTGATGACATGACTAGTCGTGCAAAAGAATCCTAAGACACATGGGGTGCCTGGGTGGCTCAGTGGGTTAAAGCCTCTGCCTTCGGCTCAGGTCATGATCTCAGGGTCCTGAGATCAAGCCCCGCATTGGGCTCTCTGCTCAGCAGGGAGTCTGCTTCCCCCCTCTCTCTGCCTGCTTGCGATCTCTGTCAAATGAATAAATAAAATCTTAAAAAAAAAAAAAAAAAGAACCCTAAGACACTAATTTTAAAAATCTACTAAAACTAGGGGCAACTGGGTAGCTCAGCTGGTTAAGTGTCAAGACTCTTGACCTCAGCTCAGGTCTTAATCTCAGGGTTGTTGAGTTCAAGCCCCGCACTGGGCTCAACACTGGGGGTGGAGATTACTTAAAAAAAAAAAAAAAAAAAAAAAATCAACGACAACTAGTAAATTTGGCAAGGTCTCAGTACAGAAGTTTGATATACAAAAATCAATTGCATTTCTAATACTAGAAGCAAACAGAAAACCAGACATTTCAAACTACACTGTGGTAACAACAGAAAATATAAAACAACTGGGAATAAATTTAACAACATGTGTAAAAACTCTACCTTGAAAACAAAACACTATGTTAAGGGGATACCAAGAAAATCTAAATAAATATAATAGCATATACTAGTTTAAAAGTAATCAATACTAAAAAAAAAAAAGTAATCAATACTGAGATATCAATTCTCTCCAATTTACAATTTCAACATAATCTCAATCATAATCCCAACAGCCTCTGAAAAACAGCAAATGACAAGATGGTTCTGAAGTTCATATGAAAATGGAAAGGATCTAGAATAGTTAAAACAATCCTGAAAACAGTGAATAATTTTCAAGATTCTACCATATTTAATCTCAAAATTTACCATGAAACTGCAGTAATCCAAATAGTATGGTATTTGCTTAGAAACAGACAAACAGATCAGTGAAACAGAACAGGATCCAGAAATAAACAAACAAACAAAAATTTCTAGGCTGTTAATAAACATCTCTATCCCTGTGAGACAAATACTTTTTCGCCTACCTTATCCCCCAACAAAAGGGCCTGAAAACTGACAATTTTAATTTTCTCACATTAGCACCTCAAGGACAGTTTTTTTTTAAGATTTTATTTATTTATTTGACAGAGATCACAAGTAGGCAGAGAGGCAGGCAGAGAGAGAGGAAGGGAAGCAGACTCCCTGCTGGGCAGAGAGCCCAATGTGGGGCTCGATCCCAGGACCCTGGGATCATGACCTGAGCTGAAGGCAGAGGCTTAACCCACTGAGCCACCCAGGTGCCCCTCAAGGACATTCTAACAAAATTAACTACAAATTAAAAAAAAATCTTAAACAGCTTTCCAATAT